GGACTAGCCCAGAGGTCCCGCAGGAGAAAGGAGGAGGGAGATGCAGGAGAGGGACTGAGAACGAAGGAGGAGGGTAGAGGGTGTGAGCAGGGAAGACAGAACTCCCTGTGGATGGCGTCCGGGAGCCACACCCTGGGCGGGGGGCGGGGATGCTGACTCTGAGTGCGAATTCCCCCACGCAAGCGGGTTGACATGAAATTGTTAGAAATCCAGTATTTTCCTTTAACAGTGGGAATGGGGAAGAAGCAAGGGGGAAATCTGGGAGAGCAAGAACCCTCTCTCCTTTCCCTCCCCTGCCCCCCAGCCCCCACATGCAGACATGGTGGGAAGGCAGCTACCTGCAAGCCGGGAGGACAGCCTTCACCTGCGTTACAGCTTTTATAAGAAACCGGTAATCCAGCAAGCAAGCTGCTTCTCGGAGGCCTGTGAGCCACTCTAACAAATGATTGAACCTGAGGAGGGCAGGAACCCTGGAGGCCCGGACTCGTGACTGGTCGGCAGGGGGGCGAGGGGAGGACGTCTTGTGGGACTGAGTCCTTACCCTGCGGCCTCTGACATGAGGACCAGGTGGGCTGTCGGAGGTTAATTGAATTGTAGGTCACCTGACCAGTGTGGGGGGATTGGCCAGCGTGGGGACCCCTCTCCCCAGTCTGGTGTCAGAAGAATGGAGGGCAGACTCCTCCCTCTCACAGGTGACTGGCCTTCCCTGGACACAGGCTGGAGTCCCCACTGGGCCCAGCCCTGCAGCGCTCACTGCTGCCCCCTGGGAGGCTGGTAACTGTTCAAACACCTGGCCACACATCCAGGGGCTCACAACAAGGCCAGTTCATTACCTCCCAGTCCGTAGGTGGAAGCCCAGCAGGCCTGTCCGGTTTCTCTGCTCTGGGTCCCCCAAGTCCGGATCAAGGGGTTGGCTGGGCTGCGTTCCCGACTGGAAGCTCCGGGGACGCCCGGGTTCCAGGCTCGCCCGGGTTGGAGTCTGTTTCCACGTGACTGCGGGCCTGAGGTCCCTGTGTCATGGCTGCTGCCAGCTGGGGTCATTCTCCGCCCACAGGCCCTGGCTCATGGCTCTGCCTCTTCTTCCGCTGGAACGCTCACGTCAGGTGGGGCAGGCTCTCTGCTTTAGGGCTGGGAGAGCGATTGAGCTCACCTGAGTAACCCAGAACACCCCATCCCAAGATCCTTCACTCTGCCACGTCAGGTAACATAGTCGCAGGTTCGGGGTTAGGACGTGGACATCCTTGGGGGGCTGTCATGGTGCCTGACACACCCCTACCTGCCTCCCAGGCCTCCTGTGGGCTTCGTGGCATTTTCTCTTCCCCTGTCAGCCGTCTGCGTGGCTCTCATTCTCCCATTATTCCGGACATCATCATGGCCAGGCCTTGGGGAAGCGTCTCTTTTCCAGAAATCCCTCGCCCCCCCCCAAAACGGAGCCTTTCCCTTCTCCTGGTGATGTCTTCCCGCTCCATCAACTGACGCCTCCTCCCTCAGAACCAGAGATGTTACCCTGGCAACCCCCAGCCCGCCCCACAGCAGTCATGGAAGGGACAGGGGCCTGGACTCGGCTCCTGTTCTGAGGAGCTGCGCCCCAAGGCGAGCAAGCAGGGCCCCGTGGGCCCCTTCGGTTGGGTCGGGCCACGAGGATCCCCACATCCTGCTTCTGCCGACTTCCTCCCGCCAGGTTCCCACTCCGAGGGGGCCAGGTTTACACTTGGGAGAGCTTTTTTCAATTTCCTTCGGCTTCCGAGGCTCATCCCAGG